GTGGTCTGGATTCTTCTGCTGAAGTTAGGGCTTTGGTGGTCTTGCCTTTTCAGCTCCCTTAGGTGCTTTATTAGGCTATTAACTTGTGATCTTTCCATTTTTTTGATGTATGTTCAGAGAGATATAAATTCCCCTCTTAGTACTGATTTCATGGCATTCCAGAGGTATTAGTAAGATGTCTTTGTTTTCATTTGTTTCCAGGAGTCTTTTAATTTCTGTTTTGATTTCTGTGTTGACCCAGAAGTTGTTTATCATCATGCTGTTTAGTGTCGATGTCTGTGGGTTGTAGAAATTTTGTTGGTGGGGATGTTTATTTTTATCTACTGTGGTCTGAGAAAGTGCATGGAAGTATTTTGATCTTATGAAATTTGCTGATGCTTTATTTATGACTGAGTAGGATCTTGGAGTATGTTCCATGTTGTGATGAGTAGAATATATTTTTCATGCTTGTTGGGCGGAATGTTCTGTAAGTATCTATTTAGTTCACTTGGTCAAGTGTCAAATTGAGGTTCCAGACCTCCTTGCTGATTTTTTATCACAATATTCTATCTAGGATTGTTAGTGGGGTATTTAAGTCCCCAGCTATGATAGTGTTAGAGTTAATATCTTTTATTTGCTTACTTGATAGTTTATAAAATCTGGTACTCCTGGGTTGAGTGCCTATATGTTTAGGATGGATATTTCTTGTTGATGGATTGAACTGTTTATCATTATGTAGTGTATCTTTTTAAATTTTTGATAGCTTAAAAGTTGTTTTGTCTGATATTAAGATCATGACTCCTGCCTTTTTTTGTATTCTGCTTGTCAGAAAGTTTGGTTTTCATCCTCTAACTTTGAGTCTGTGGGATTTTTATCTAGTGAGATGTGTTTCCCCATATATTGGGGTCATGTTTTTTTTTTTAAATCCAGTTTGCCATTCTATGTCTTTCCAGTGGTGCATTTTGTCCATTCACATTTGGGCTGACTATTGAGATGTGAGAGGTTATCCTTGTCATGAGGCTTTTATAAAATTTATTTATTGTTGTCATTTGTTTATTTGTTTGTTGGTTTTTGTTTGATTTTTGTGCTGATATACATGTGTGTTTTCAATTTTACAGTCAAAATGCATGCTGTATTGATTCTTTGTTTTTCTCATTATTGGGAAGTGTGTGATTTTTTCTTTCCTTTTTCTGTGCTTAATACTTTATTTTATTTTATTTTATTTTATTTTATTTTATTTGAGTTGGAGTCTCACTCTTGTCGCCCAGGCTGGAGTGCGGTGGCACACCCATGACCTACCGGGTGTAGGCAGTCCTTCCACCTTAATACCTTCTTAAGCATCTCTTGTAGAGCTGGTCTGGTTGCAGTATAAACTCTTAGGGACTGAATGTCTAGGACGGATTTAAATTCCCCATCACTGATGAAGTTTAGCTTAGTTGGGTAGGAAATTCTTGGTTGGAGTTGTTTATCTTTGAGAACTTTGAAGATTGAACTTCAGTCTCTTCTAGGCTTCAGTTTTTCTGTAGATAAGTCTGCTGCTATTCTAACTGGTCTTCCCTGGTAAGTAGTCAGACCTTTCTCTCTCGCTGCACTTAGGATTTTTTCTTTTATACCTACTTTGTGTAATCAAACTATTATATGTCTAGAAGTTAGTTTTCTCCTTTGATGTCTTGTGGGTGTTCTCTGAATCTCTTTTGTTTGGATGGTTACATCTTTTATGAGTTGTGGGAAGTTTTCTTGGATGATCTCATGAAATGTTTGTTTCAGGGTGCTCTCAGTTCTTTTCTGCTTCAGGGATACCAATCAGGCATACGTTTAGTCTCTTAATATAATTGCACATCTCTTGAAGGCTTTGTTCTGTCTCTTTAAGCTTTCTTTCTATTATTTTAACAGAATGGGATAGTTCCATATTTTAGACTTAAAGCTCTGAGATTCTTTCCTCTGTTGGGTTAATTCTGTTTCTATTCTTGTTAGTTCATTATTTATTCCATTGACTATATTCTTTATGCTTGTATCACTGTAACTAATTCTTTCATATTTTTATCTTGCCCTTCTCAGATCTTATTCATCTTTTCCAACCGTTCCTTGATCTCTGCATTTGTGGTCTGAGAACAATATATCTGGGTGTCCTTCTTTGTTTGAGTTCTGATGTTTGTATTCTCCAGCACTGTCTTTCTAGGGTTTGCTGGGTTCCCTGTGTTTTTTCATTGATTTCTCTTCATTTATGATGGATATTTCTTTTCTCTTTGTTTATGTTTTTCACTGAGAGAGGGAGTAGTTTTTACTTTTGTTTGCTAAACCCCCATTCTTCCTTTGGTCAAGCCGCCAGATTTGTTTGATTTTGAAGCCAGGTTGGGGTGTTTAACTATCTGTCCTTTTGCAGCTTTGAGATTTTTTTAAAGGTATGTTGGGGGGTGCTAAGATTCAAAAGCTGCCTGCAGATCCCAGTGTTCACTGACTGTGGTGTGGAACGCTGGGACCCACTTACCCTCACCTCACAGTATGTCCATGCAATGGAAATGTATGTATATCCCCCTCCACCACTCATCCTCTGTGGGCTGGGTTCTTCATCTTTGGCTGCAGCCATAGACCTAATGTTCTAATTAGGGGGATGAGATAACTGGGTCTCCTCGCCCAGCCTGTCCCTCTGGGAATACTGCATCAGGGGTATTCTCTTTAGGTTGACAGTGATCAACCTCAGAGATGGGCTGAATTCACCCCTCAGGCTCAAGGAGTAGCTCTGCTCCTCACATGGGCAGGTCAGAGCCTGTCTCCGACTGGCTACTAAGACAAAGGCAGTGGGAACATCTCTGCATCTTGCTCTCCTCTGGTACCTACCTACTAGTTTTGCTAGTGTATTTTCTCTGTGACCCCCACTGCCAATGTCCAATTTGGTGCCTGAGGCTTTGGTGGCTGGTGGTGCCAGCAGTGGCTGTTTTTTTGCTGCTTTCTTCCAGGTAAGGTAACAGAGATGGTGAGTGTCCCTGGGCCGTGGATCCCTCTGGGATCTGAGTAGTTGCATGGGCAGCTGCCTCACCTGGAGAGCTCAGGCTGTTTGTTCCCACATCCCCTTCAGTCAGACACTCACACACCCACTTGCCAACACACTTACATGCATATTCGTCCCTACAACACTCATTTACATGAAGACTCACACTCTCTGACTGACTCCATTGCCATCTTTTAATCCCCCTCCATTCTTATTAGCATATTAATTTTTAATAGCCAAAATGAGGAATAGTCTAAAGGTCTGTCAATAGGTGAGTGGTTTAAAAATGTGCTGTCTGCATACAATAGAATATATTCAGTAATCAAAATGAATGAACGATGAATATACACGGCAACATGGAAGAGCTCAAAATAATCATGTGAGTGAAAGAAACCATATAAAATATAAAAAGAGGCCACACACTATATCATTCCATTCGTATGACATTATAGGAATTTCACACTTATCTACAGTAAATAATGGAAAGAAGACCAATGGTTGCCTGAAAAGGATAGGCCAGGATGGAGAAATTACATAAGGTCACAGGAAATCTTTGGGTTACATGTATTGCTTTGATTGTAGATGTGGTTTAGTATATTTGTCAAAACTAATCAAATAATACACGTTCTATGTAAGCAGAATATTATATGTCATGTATACTTCAGTGAAACTGTGCTCACACACTACTCTCTTGAACTATATTGGGGGAGATTATTCAATTATGCAGTTATAAAGTGAAAATATTTGTTGATAGATACAAGACTACCTTGAGGAAAAAGTTTACACTGCTTAACATATAGGCCTTTTTACAGCTCCAGAATATAGGACAAAGAAAATATGAATTGAGATATTTGTTTCAGTGTTTTAAACTGGTCGGGATCACAGATGCAGGCAAATCACTCTTTCAAGCATATGTTAGAGAAGTCAACTTTCACAGACTTCACAGATACGATTCTCTGCTTATGAAATACTCACTCACATATCCATGCCATCCCAACCCACCTCACAAGTGTTCTTGCCATAACATTTTACTTCCTATAAGAATTAAAATTAGTAACTAATGAGAAGATAAAGAAGATTTTTGGTGTTTTTAATCTCCTGAGAGTTCTTAATAGTTCATGAAAAACACAATTGCTTTGCAAATGCCGCAAATCGCTTTTCAGGTACCCAGACTAACATCTGAAGTATTTATGGCTCTTCTTATTCAACATCAAGCATCCCTTCGCTAAAATGAAGTCATGCAGTGTAAATAATAATATTCTGAATAAAAGATATTCAGTATAAAGGGGGCAGAGATGGTGACCCTTAAGTGGCAAATTTAAAATTATTTGGCACTCTTCCATCAATAACAAAAACATTAACAAATAGAGCTAAGACTTGAAAGATCATTATTACTACTTTAATCTTTATACCTCTCCATATATAATCACTAAACTTTGTTGAATATCCTTGCAAAACTTTTTTCTTACATGTGCCAGATTGAATAACATTAAAGCAGGCGTAGTTTGACTACAACAGAGACCTGTAAAAAGCGTACATTTCATTTCTACTCCTCTCCTTCTCAACTTCCATATATTCTTCTTTTTTTCTCGTCCTCGTTCAATTTTTTGTTTCATAAAAGTTTATTTTTTTCTATTTATTCATGAAACTATCAGATGGAATTGAAACCAAAATGGTGTATTCATGGAGCAAAATGCTGACTTGGAGAAGGTGTGCTTTGTTTTTTCACCTTGGAAGGTTAACTGGTATCACCTTTCCTCCCTATCATTTTTATGGAAACACTGATTTTGTTCACTTTTATTTTCTTTAAAAAAAGCAAGATTCCTGTAACAGACACCGTGACTAGGACTCTGTGACATGAAAGAAGTTGGGGATGTAGATGGGACATGATGGTTGGATAGGCAGCCAAAGTTGTTTGCCACAGATCTTTTCAAGCAAACTCCTGTAAAATAGTGTTCCCAAGGAAAATCGTAAGTTTTGACACAGTCCTCTGCTTTGTTTCCCCCCCGCCCTTGATTGTGGTGTTTTGCAGCCGCCGAAGGAATGGTGTGCAACCATCTGTGTTCAAGTGACGGCTGTTGGGGACCTGGACCAGACCAGTGCCTGTCTTGCCGCCGCTTCAGTAGGGGAAAGACCTGCATAGAGTCCTGCAACCTCTATGACGGGTAAGGCTTCTTGTCATGTTGCCCTGCACTGCATGAATGGTGAAGCGCTGAGTAGTTCAGGTTTTAAAATTATAACAAGGTTTCACACGGTGTATGCACACCAAGGTTTTTAAGGGGAGCTCTTATGTTAAGGAGACAGCACATAGAAAAATTGTTTGGCCAGTTATCCCAGCACTTTGGGAGGGTCGAGGCGAGTGGATTGCCTAAGCCCACGGGTTTGAGACCAGCCCGGGGCAACATGGTGAGACCTTGTCTCTACAATAAAATAAAAAAATTCTGGCAACTTGGAAGGCTGAGGTGAAAGGATTACTGGAGCCCAGCAGGTCAACGCTGGGGTGGTTGTGAGCAGGCCACTGTAACTCCAGCCTGGGCAATGGAGTGAGACTCTGACTCAAAAAAAAATTTTTGTTTAAAGGGAAAATAATCAGCTTGTAAATAGCAAATTATGTGCTGTTTGTCTCATGGGATTGAATTCATGCTTATTCACATGATTATGAAATAAAATTTTCTGTACATGAAATACTTTAGATCAAAATATGCTTGTTTATGTGTGTGACACATAAAAGGAAGTACAATAGACTTTAAATCCATTAAGTGAATATCACATTAAAAGTTTACTGAATATATATATATATATACACACACACAATATTTTATATATATATATATATATATATATATATATATATACACACACAATATTAAGGAGAGAATGGACTGTAAAAATCATTTTATCTAACAACAGCATCTTAAGTGGCTAAAGTCACAATACTGTAAAAGAATCAAGCCAACACCAGAACTCAGGACTTCTGAGTTTCATCCTGTTTTCTTTCCAAAAAGACCATTATTTTCTTCTCTGTTTCATTTTTAAACTTTTCAGAAATATGAAATTGGCCAGGCTCAGGGGCTCAGCCTGTCATCCCAGCACTTTGGAGGTCAAGGCGAGTAGATTGCCTGAGCCTGCGGGTTTGGGACCAGTCCGAGCAATTTGGCGAGACCTTGTCTCTACAATAAATCAAAAATTAGCTGGGTGTGGTAGTGCTCGCCTGGAGTTCTAGCTACTTGGAAGGCTGGGGTGGAAGGACCACCAGAGCCCATCAGGTTGACGCTGGGGTGGCTGTGAGTATGCCACTGCACTCCAGCACAGGCAATGGAGTGAGACTCCAACTCAAAATAATAACAACAACAACAACAACAACAAAACAGCAAAAGCAAACAAACAAAAAAGAAATATGAAATTTACAAACATGTGTATGAAAGCTGACCAAAGAAAAAATACAGGTTTCCTAAACAAACACTGACTACCAGATTGGTTTTCATATTTAACATTTTTCTTATTTACATTAGTCAATCAAATCTAATAAATACATTTAAAGTTTTTAATGTATTTTGCAATAATAATGATGGTATAGGAAATCATAAGCATAGGATTAATTTGAAAGACAACTGATGAAAGTGTCTTGTGAAAGTCTGATGTAATTCTTGCCTGGAGGTGGATTCTTATCCTATGACATGGGCTAGTTTCTTAGTATTGCATAGTGGTTAAGATAACTCTTGAGGAAGAATGAATTCAGCTCCCAACTTCATCACTCTCTAGTTGAAATGCCCAACCTTAAACAAAAAAGAATTGAATCTTTGTAAACTAGTTTTCTTATATGAAAAATGAGACTAATATATAGAATAGTAGTGATTATCCAATGAGAAAGTACATAATAAAATCTTGTTAGAATTTCTACCATGAATATTGCTGTCATTAATTCCTTTGTGTCTATTATTCTGAGTTGATTAAATGGTTAAATAAAATAGTCATCTTAAAAACCGATGAAAGTAATACAAATAAGACATTGACCAAAGTCAGAAGAGCATATCTATAAAGCCTTAGGAGAGAAGAAATTCTTTTAAAAAGCAGACTTTTTAAAACCAGGTGAAGTGAAGACCAATGAGAGGTTCAAACTTCACCAGTACAATGATCACACTTGTACCTAACCTTGAATTGTACCCCACATCTTTAAAATAAAGAAAACTTTTGAAAAAAGCTGAAAGAAGTTCTTAGATATTTCCACTGACATTAAAGAAAAGGAAAAATGAGAAAATACAAATGCATGTTAGAAAACTCTTTGTATAATAAATAACTAAATGTTGTGTGATCAAAAAAAAAAATCAGTCAATTCCTGGCTGACTAGCGTTCAAATCCAGAGCACGTTAAGTTACCATATTTAAACAATTTAACTACCAGGCTCAAGCAATCAAAAAGAAAAAGATAGGTACCTGCAAGGGAACTGTAAAACTTCTCTTATATGACAGCGTGTTAAAGCTCTTCTGAAACCTTAAGACCAACACAAAAACATCAGAGAAAATGAAGTCTAAAATCTTTAAGGCATTTTTACATTTAATAAGGGCAACTATCAATGAAACATTATTCTTTCCCTTTTACAGAGGATATTTAGAAAACTGGAGCTGAGAAAAGTTCAAGTATTTAAGGCCTAGAAATATTAGTGTGGTGCTGAGATATAAATTTGGGAAAGACTGGATTCAGATGCATTCATGCTTGATCACAGGATTAGCTAAAGCAGCTAAGGTAATACACATACAACAAAACCGGGAGGGATGTATCACAGATTAAGCAAGTGAAACAAAACTGGGTATGCAAAGTTCATGCTCAGTAGACTAACTTGTTGGGCCAGAGTCAGACCAAAGACCAAAGGGAAACTGGCAATGCCATAATAAAATCACTAAGGGACAGAGAAGAAAAAGAACAATGATGGAGACAGTGACAATAAAGGAAAGAAGTATGTAATAGAGATTGCAAGGATCTTTTCTAAGAGCAGAAAGGGAGATGGAAGTCATACAAATGGAGGTTTATGGATGAAAAGGCAATCGATTTTTCCATGATATTTTATGATGTACATTTTATTGCTCAACTATGTGTGTGTGGAAGAGCGTTTTGGAGAAGAGTAAGGAAAGCATGACCTATAGTTAAGTAGCATAAAAATCATGACCTTCATTTAGTACCATATCCCTTTAATCACTCAAGAAACTATTAACCAAAACCGGTAATTAGCTGATAATCCCAGGCTTTGCTTTAACTGTGGTGTAATTTCATTATACAAAAAATGCTTTTGATTATCTTTACAATGTAGCTATCTTTCCATACCAGGTCATTTTGACCTTTATTTTCCAAAATTTTCCTCTGTTGGGTATGTTTATTGTTCATGATAACAAAGTGCAATAGATAACCTGTTTTTATGTAACAGCTTTTAAACTCAAGAAAATTTATAAAAAAAAATTAGTCCATGACAATTTAATATCTTACTTATAAAATGCAAAGTCCACATAACTAAGTATATGTACATTTCATACATGATTAAACCATACTATTCATCTTGAAAAACCAAACAATTATGTTGCCTTGGAATGTAGTCTTAATCAAACCAACAGAAAACATACATTTGGACTTCTGTTGTTTTACTTATCCTTTGAACTTCTGTTGTCTATTAAGGTTTTACAGTATTCAAATAAGAAAAAGTGATCACTTCAATGTTAGAAAAAATATTTTTAAATTTATTACCTAAATAATCCATAATTGCCATATCTTTAATGCTGTTGATTTTTGCCCAGCATACAAAGGCACAAAAGAGTGAAGCAGATAAAAATATTTAATAATATTTATTAATGACTCATAAATAATGACATCTCAAATTGTCTTTACACAATACCTTATACTCTTGTGTTTTATTGGGAAATGTTGACTTAAACATATTCCTTTATTATTGAAATGAAAATTTTGGAGTAGAAAGTAAATGGAAAATTTATAAGTAGATCACGTATAATTGACAAATAGTCACAAAAATATAAGGATGTGGGAAAGGGTGACCGTCATCTCAGGAGATTTTAATTAGGAAGTTTTATAACGTTACCATTAAACTATATTTTTAAATTTTATACCATATAGGATAACTTCAAAAAGAATTAGACTGAAAAAACATGTTGTGGTATTAGATCAATAATCTAAGAAAATAAAGTCTACTCTAAAAAGATATTTTCTCTAATTCTCCAAGGCAGAAATTTTAAAAGGAAAAAGGGAATCAAAGCATTTTTTGAAGTTTCACTAAAAATAAATTGCTGAGTCTTGGGATTTGAAGGACAAGGATGGGGAGCATTCATGTAACTTAGCAACAGGAAAAATACAATAGTTCTGTCAGAGTTTAGAAATTAAAACTTCACCAAGAGTAAAATTTTATATAGATACAAAACACGCACAGCTTTACTCAAAAAGGTAAAAGTGGTTCTGCTGTGTCATCAGAAGAGTTACACTTTTTTTATTTTTATTTTTGAGACTACTAGAATATTTCTCACGAGAGAGAGATTTCCAGAACGAGTCTATCGTTGAACTCAATGGAGAGCGAGGTGAGCCATCTGGCTGCCGTTTATCTTTTCTCCTAATGGAAAACTTAATGTTTCTGATGCTCCTGGCACCTAGAGAAACAAACTCTAGAATTTACTCTGCCAATAGGACTTTTAGCAGATGTTACTTCATTTGTTAAGTTGACAGCTTGTTTGCTTACACCTTCTCATGCAGCTGATGTTTCCACAGTGAATTTCGGGAGTTTGAGAATGGCTCCATCTGTGTGGAGTGTGACCCCCAGTGTGAGAAGATGGAAGATGGCCTCCTCACATGCCATGGACCGGTAAGCCTGAAGGCATCTGTGGTGTATTGGCTTGTTTAGTATTATGTATGAATGTTTTTTATGTTATTGTTTTATCATTTATTCATCCATTTAATAGGTAGTGATAGGATGCTATGGGGAAACATGTTTAATATCTTCCCCCAAGAAGCTTAAAGTTGAGTAGTAAAGACAAAATATTTAAAAATTCAATGTCTTAAATATTTATTCCTCAGGTAACAGACATATTTAAACAGAATTATAATTTGTGAATTAGTCCTGTAAGATTGTACAGTATAAAAAAGAGGGATACTCAAGTGATTAGATTGAAGCACAATCACTGAGATAATATAAATATGTACAGATTGTAAAAGGAACACAAATTAGGAGAAACTAACTCTATCTTTGGTTTGGAAGTTGGGGCATCAAGGAAGGCCAGAGAGAAGTGATGTGTGAGCTATGCTTTGAAGAGGAATCTGGAAAGAAGCAACGTGTAAAAATATGCAAGTGTGGTAGTTCATGTTATGCTTGAAAACTGGAATACATTCTTATCTGTGCTTAATCATTCAACTATTATGGCAGTGTGAAGGATAGTGGAATGAAAGAGGAGAACGAGTACTCATAAAGTAAGACTTAAAGCAGTGTAACAGATACTATAGCAGAGAGAAGAACTGAAGTATACGAATCCAAGGAGGGACTATAGAATCAGGAAAGTCTTCTTGGAAGAGGTGCCATTTATACAGTTTGAAGTTAGCCTTAAAGACAAAATGATAATCGTCTTTTAGATCTCTCTTTGGTTTCCATCATTCAGGTTTTTCTTAATAATGGAATCAGTATGAATTTGTCATTCCAAAGTGCCATATTCATCCTTCTTTAGACAAATTTCCAGTTTATCTGTTATTGAGTCATCTCTCAGTAGATAATTTGGGGACCAACATTTGGGTGTAAACAAGAGCTCAACATTTGCTCCGTAATAATTCATCTAAAATTTAAATAGTATTAATTTTTCTATCCTAGTGCTTACTCAGCATTTAATTAGCGTAGGAAAAAAGTGTCATTGAGCCCTGCAAACTTCCATTAGGCCCCAATGAGCTGTTCTGGAACTTCACCTAAAGAAGGATATGGAAAGCTGGGAGAGTTCTGAGGACTGCCACAAGGATGATTAGGGAAATCAGACCTCTGAGAAAAGGAAGTGGTGTTATTTGGCCTGAAGAACCAAAGTCTAAAAGGCAATTTAATATGTAATTATCTCCAAGTAAGTATGCAAAAGGCATATGCAGCTATTTTCTCTCTCCACTATGGACAGTAATGAAGATACAATTAATCTGCCGCATGAGAAATGTGAATTCTATAAAGAATGTCATGAAACACAGGGAAGGAAATTTCTGGAATGGGTTGTTAAAATTAAGATGTCTACCTTTTGGTAACTTCTGGACGATGAATCATGAACTAAATAAAGTCTCTTTCTGAGAAACTGAAACTTTAAAAATGTGTAATTAAAATAATCAACAATTTGACCATCTCCTCTAAACTAAGTTGGGGATAATCAATGTATGTAGAACCATTCATAATGTATACTGGAAACCGATTTACAGAAACATTTTTTAGAAAATTATGAGCAACTGCTAAAAACTGCGTAACATTGGTGAGTCACTATGGATGCCAGTGCAGTCATTTAGATTTCTTCACATAGATATCTTCTTTCTATTTTCTAGATTAATTTTTTCTTCACACACATTATTCTCTATTTCTTTCCCTTACTCCTTTTATTTTGAACAAACTTCTAAGAAATATCTTGTCATTTGCTCAACAAATATTATTTAGTACCTACTTTGTGTCAGGCTTAATCAGCATAGCTACTGCTGAATTTTCACAAACTAACAGATTCAAAAATTAATATTCAAGCATATGTCTCTAAAATCACTACAGGTACATTATTTGCATGATTTTAATATTTTTTACATATATCTCTTCTCCATCTATTGCATTCTGTATGTTGAAAATGAATTCAAGTCATGATATTTTGAACTTTATTGTAATTTGTATTTTTCAGGAAAATCAAGTAATTTTATTAATTAACACTTTTGATTCAAATAATCCTATAAACAGAAAATGAATGTGGTTAGAAGCAGTATAAGTGTATTTGCTGATAGATCATAAGTTTTCTAGCGTTATTTCACAAAAAGGATCTCTTCTATGAGAATTTGATGTTTGCATAACATCTGGAATAAGGGCTAGCCTTCAAAAGAAAGACCTAAATAACTGCCCCGTCAGTAGTCCTCCACTAGTTTTCATATGAGAGAAAAGTTCAATTATCACTTTATCTACTAATCAAGTCAGAATTAATATAATCATTACGGATCATATTTTTATTCATGATTTCACAACATTATTGAATATCCTTTGCAAGATAGCTCTCATGCTAGGTATTTTCACATAAACATTTTCTTTTTTTGTTTGTTTTTTATTCTCCCAGTTTTGCCAATGACAAAAGAATCTCAAAGATGTGAAATGTATTGCTCAGTATAGAAAATCTTTGGAATCACAATTTCAGCATCTAATCTCAGGGTGCTTGACTATCAGTCCCATGCTCTTTCTATTCCTTATGCTGCCTTCTGCTGTATACAATTATTCTAGTTAACTACTCATTTATTAATTTCTCTTCATTTGTATTTTTTGCAGTTCATTTGTTTATTCATTTGTTCCTCAAAAGATAAAAACACTTTGGTATAATAAGAATAAAAGGTTGTTTGGCAATATGATAGCTATATATTAAATGGGATAATATCATTCTACTTAAATATGACACAAATCCAGGGTAATCTTGAGAGGGATAGATGTGAAAAAAAGGAAGGTCACTGCTTTTCCATCCTTACCTGTCTACACTTGGTCCTATTTATTTTATTGTATTTTTTACCTTTGTATCCATTCTTCCTTACTTTCACTATTTGTATAAGTCCTATTAACAAAGATAAAGGAAGACATGTCAGAAGAAAGAGAAAAAAGGGAAATCAACGTTTTGGGAAACCAAAATATAAGCTAGAGGAACAACAAGAGAAGAAAAGGGATGGGGGAACGGAATTGAGTTTCAAGATACATTTTTTATAAAAGTTAAAGTGGCTGTTAAAGCAAGTTAATGGAAGTTGTGCTGTTATCACAAATTACCTCCATATTTCAGCAACTTAAAGAAATACATGTTAGTCTTTTCATACGAAGTGCACTGCCAGCCTGGGAAAATAACATCCCCCTTCTTGAGATGGTCTAGCATTCCAGGATGCTTTGATGGTATAGCACCTCCAGTTTTTCAGTAGGTCTCTGAATAATGGCAACAGAAAGAGAAGGCTAGAGAATTCAGCATTGGCCGTCTCATCTGTCACTTCTAAATACATTGTATTGTTCAGATTAAGCCATACATTACTTCTAGTCGGAGGGGAATGGCAATCTTCTCATGTGGCTGGATATAGAAGAGAAGAGGATTCTGGTGAACCATAGCTTTGTCTCTAACAGTAGCTACCAGAGAAAGTATCAATTGTCACTGAGGAAAAAAAAATGTAACGTTTCTATCAGCATTTAGCTGATATTTTAGTTGTCTGTCTAGATTATTGAATCCAGAGGCAGTTTAGAATTAAGGATAAAGAAGGGTATTTTCACCTCCCGGTTTTATCATTGCATGTATCAATTCATTTACTGCACCTAGGTTCTTAAAAGCATAGGGAATACAATAAGGAAAGGATAAGCATTAGAAATGTGCATAATTCTTTAAGCCTCTTTATTATGGAAATGAGAAGGTGAATCAGTACATATCATTTTCTCTGAGATTTGGCAGGACGGTTTTTAGTTATGTCAGCCTATGACATTAGATTTTCTCTCATGATAATACAATCAAACAGAGTCATGCACCATATAATGACATTTCGACTGGTGAGGGACAGCATATGTGATGGTCCTCCCATAAAATTATAATACCCTACTTTTACTGTACCTTTTCTACATTTAGAGATGTTTGCATCTCATACACACATGCCAGAAACTGTGAATTCTATAAAGAATGTTATGAAACACAGGGAAGAAAATTTCTAGAATAAGTTGTTAAAGTAAAGGAAATTTCTGGAATGAGCTGTTAAAGTAAATTAAGATATCTATATTTTGGTAACTTATTGACTATGAATTATAGAATAAATACAATCTCTTTCAGGGAAACTGAAACTTTAAAAGTAAATAATTAAAATAATCAAGAATTTAACCATCTCCTTTGAACTAAGTTGGGGATAATCAGTGTGCCTAGAACCACTCAAGATGTATACTGGAAACAGATTTACAGAAATACTTTTTTAAAAATTATGAGCAAAAACTGCTAACAACTGCCTAATGGTTCATTGGTGAATCACAATGGATGCCACTGCACTGTTATTTAGATTTCTTCATGTAGATATCTTCTTTCTATTTTCTGGCTTATTTTTTCTTCACACACATAATTTTCTACTTATTTCCCTTACCTCTTCTATTTTGTACAAGCTTCTAAGAAATATCTTGTCATTTTAATCTTTACTTTTCATACACATGAGATGTATCTATCTATCTATCTATCTATCTATATTTGCCATCATGTCACTATTACTACAGTATTCAATATAGTGACATGCTGCACAGATTTGTATTCTAGGATCAATAGACTATGTTACATGGCCTAGGTATGTTGTAGGCCACACCACCTAGGTCTGGGTACACTCTTTGATGTCCACACAACAGTGAAATCACCTCATGTTGCATTTTATTCAGAATGCATACTGTCAATAAATAACACTTGACTCAAGTTGAGATACTTAAAAAATAAGGACAAAAATAATGTATCTTATTACAGTACACTTAAAGAACAAATCTGAACTCAATTTTATGACTTTTTATCTTTTGATTACACCTGGATATTATTTTGCATTATAAGAACTTAAGAGAAAAATACTTCCTAATTCTTAATTCAAACTATAGCTGCCAAATTTACATCTAGTAAGTTTTCTTCTGTGTGCTGCAAGAAGACATTAGCTTGTCTCTTGTCTTGTACAATAAGTCATACCACTGAGCATACTTGCACAGTAAATGATTCTGTGTAATAGACAGTATTACGTGCCTAAGTACCCATGAGCAGGTGTTAAAATTGGAAGCATGCGAAGTATTCTTTTTGGGGAAGAAGTAAGAAGTTACTATTAGCAAACTCCTCATGTAGAATAGGGATTCGGCTTTATAGGGTTTTATTTATTTGTTTTTTTTCCTAATTCTGAGCCTCTACAGCAAACAGTGAAATGGGCAGGTGCTTGATTGGACCTCTGCAGTCTCAGGATTTCCAGAATCTCTTCCTGATTGCTTTTTCTTCTTTACACCACTGTTCCTTATCAGCAGCCTCCATTTGTAAATTTGAAGATATTGTATATCTTGATTTTGTTATGCCTTGTATAACCAATTTGTAATGTCTGGCTGCTTTTGGATGAACATTTGTGTAGGGACGTAAGGCACTCCCATGCTCTCCACAGCCCTTACCTGACAAACAGTACTGTGTAGCTCTGTGCTAACTCTTGGTTGCCACATCCACTTTGTTTGTAACGACAAACCCTGTATAACTGCCTCCATGTGTACTTACTCTATCTTGTTTATCTAAGTCGTCCCCTTTCATTTGAACTGTAAGGACTGTGAGCCTGTAGGCACAGATAGATGTTAGGGAGGAATGGGTCAGAAGAAGTTCCAGGAAGGAGTGGTCAGAGAAGAGTTCTTAGACAGTGTGTTGTTTCAAATAGAGAAGTAGAAATAAGCGTCCAGTAGGTAAGATTCAAAACAGCTGGATGTGTGAAAATGTGGGCATCTTTTAAGGAAAAAAAAAAGCATTTTATCAAAATGTTCTAGTTTTTCTTTGATCTGAAGCAACACTAATCAGTTTTTGCCTGTTTGCTATCACTGCAGCAGATCAAACCAGTTTCTTTTTGTAAACTCCTGAGGTGTTTAATATTAGTTTTAACGTGTTAATTTGATTATGACTTTGAAATATATTTTCATATATTTTTGCTTATTGACAGTGTACATATTAGAAAATTGATGTATATTATAAGCATAAATAAATAAACAGAGTTCATTCTACTTAAATTCATTATTCTCATTTTTATACTATCTTCATCCTTGGATACTTTTTCATTGAGGTTTTTGTGTGTATGTATCTACTTTATTATTAGAGTTTCTGATCTTTGCTTATCAGACTGTACATTTATATGCCTCTCAGCATTGTTCTGTGATTTATTAAAATCCCTGAAAATAAGCATAATATAACTTTTTTAAAAATGGTACCCAAATTTGGTGCTTATTCAGCTCATTAAAAAATATAGTAGCTTAAGAGTCACAGGAAAAAATGTGAACATGGAGAACAGAAACCATCCAGGAAAATGATACAGCCCAGATATATCAAGTTTAATGTCTCTGCTGTACACAGAATGAATACCCTTTCCTCTCCTCATTCTTATGCTGGCAATAGAACATGCATGAGAAAATTTGACTCCTAGAGTCAGTGAATTAAAAGGATGGGTTCATACCTCTTCACAGCTCTTTTTTAAAAGGATGCTTATAATTTAAAGTATGTCCTAATGGGAAGGCAAGGGTACTGGGTAACAGGCTGTTTCATATTTTAGTCTATTAGCCTTTGGCAGAGCCAAAATCCCTAAAAATAAACATAATATGACTTTTAGCATTATCACAAGTGGATTTGAAATAAAGAACAACCTGGGAATTATTTTTATTTCGCTAAGCTGGTTAATTCCTGATTATTTAATCAGAACGAAATTTAAAATTCATTTTACAAATAAAGTCATTGTATAACCAAAGGAGTTTACATCCCACTCATATGAAATTCGCTTAATTTCTATTGTATCTTTTTTATCATTAACTATTTGGTAAGAGTATGCATATATTCCCAGAGATGGTGATGAAATACCTCCAGGGAAAATGTGTTATTACCAAATATCGTTGCACTGTAATATCACCAGAAGTAAATCACAAGAAGAAAATACTGATGTATTTTGAAAAAGGTCATTGGACATTTTTGCTGATGGAATCAAGTCACATTAGAGGCATGCCATGGAAATCAGTTGACTCAGGAACTGCTGGTTTCAAAAAGAAAAATATTTCAAGAACACATATATTGTGATAATGTTCTCACACTTACAGGGTATCGGAAACTGAACTTGAAGAATCTTGTCAGTGCTATTTGTACTAAAATAGTTACATCCCCATTTGTACTGCTGAAAATGTTCTCCAGTTCCCTAGAGAGATATGCCACCTACTGAAGTCTCAGTTACTAAACTACATGAATACATTCCAGAGGAAATGGCACCCACTTTTCTTTATATTTTTTCTTTTTCACATTTCAGGGACCTGACAACTGTACAAAGTGCTCTCATTTTAAAGATGGCCCAAACTGTGTGGAAAAATGTCCAGATGGCTTACAGGGGGCAAACAGTTTCATTTTCAAGTATGCTGATCAGGACCGGGAGTGCCACCCATGTCATCCAAACTGCACCCAAGGGTAAGCATCCTTGCTGGTCAAGGACTCAACCTGGTATGTGTTGCTATTCAAAGGGTACACACCTATCCCTAATACCATCATCTAAGTGTAGAACATCGTCATACAACTATATATATATTTTTATGTGATATATTGATTTTAAGAGAAATCTTGTCTAAGAGAATGAAGAATCAAAGTAGTACCCACTCAAATACTTTTGCCTAACTGTTACCTGTAGCCATGCTACTGACACCATCATGAAGCTAGTGTCAGATATACTTTGGATGCAATATAGAAATTCTTTCAAATTATACTGGAGATTCAAATATCAGAAAAAAAACACACAGTAATAATATTTTGATTGTCTTTATTAAACCTTTAGCAGAGATTTTCTGTTTCTCTTTTTTGTGTGTCACAATCCACTTAAAGTAAGGATATCTCTCTTTGATAAATACTATCTTGGATTATTCTTTTAAGAATATGAGCAAAGGTAGCAATGGCAGAGTAAGAAGGGGAACCTAGTGATAAGTATATTAATGAAAAACAACTACTGTATTTTGTGAAAGTAACCTTGTTACAGTTTATCCTAGTGCCTAGAATTTATTTGACTGATATGGGACAATTTAAAGATGGTAAATATTTTTCTGTTTTTCAAGAGAATGTGTTGTGCAATGAATAATAATTATATTGCCTGTAATACTGATAACAGTTGAATAACAAAGACACATTATAGAAAGAAGAAAAGCATTGAACTGTAAAAGAAATAAAGTCAGTCATCTAACAAATTCCAACAACTATTTCTTTAAAGACAACAAATCTGTTTTCGTAAGAATCTTTTTTTTCTTTTCTCTAGTAGGTGAATAATTTTAGAATTAAGAGCAGTTTTACACACTCCATCTTCCTCCTGTCCATAAAACGTCTTCTTCATTATGAATGCCCACAGGCATATGCGCACACACACACACACACACACACACACACACACAGACACACACACACACACATATTGTTGAGAATCACCTTGCATACTTTATATCTGGCAGGGAAGTATGAGATTCCTTTTTTTGTTTTGAGTTGGAGTCTCACTCCGTCACCCAGACTGGAGTGCAGCGGCAGCTCCCGGCCACCGCAGCCTCGACCTGCTGGGCTCTGGCGATCCTTCCGCCTCAGCCTTCCAAGGAGCTGGAACTACAGGCGCGCGCTACCACGCCCAGCTAATTTTTTGATTTATTGTAGAGATGAGGTCTCGCTGCCCAGGCGGGTCTCGAACCCGCGGGCTCAGGCAATCCACTCACCTCAGCCTCCCAAAGGCGCGGGATGACAGGCTGAGCCACCGAGCCCGGCTGGTATGAGATTCTATAGAGAGATTTTTATGCCAGATTAAGGGCTAGCTGTTAGGAGATGTTGAAGAAGTTAAGCAAGCAACATCATTTCCTGCCAAGTGAACATCAATTTGCAGATGCTGCTAGTTTCCTACAGGTCAGAAATAAACTTTAGTCGGATCCTTAGACTGCGCGCCCTGGAACTAGAGTCTATAATACTGAGTGAGCTCTCACAGAAACAAAGATCTGAGTTTCACATGTTCTCACTCATATAGTGGACCTTGAACATCTACCATAATACTATAAAAAAAAGGACCGACAGTGGTGGGAAACTATGGGGGGGGTAGGGAGGGGAAGGGAGGTGGGACTAGCGGTAGTCAATGTCTGGGGATGGGGAGACACCCCATATTAACAAGGGTGCCTAAACGATGCATATTTGTATACCTAACCCTTAACTGTACCCCACAATTTTATAATAAAAAATGTTTTAAAAAAATAAGCTTCAGTCACTCTGTGAAGTGACAGGTCCTCAAAAGTTAAAGGAATATTCTGTCATTCAAATTCAAATTCAGCTTGGAAGAGCTAACTGCCAACTCATTGGTTTACATGTAAGCACATAGGCCTAGAATCCTGAAATTGTCACAAAGACTCAGCTTCAAGGAAACTAGAAGTCATAAACTGCTCCCCTCATGAGTTTCTGGCATACTTGAGTTCAGTATTTCATGTAAAAAACAACTGGTACTGCTGGAGCAGAAGAGTCAGCAACAGAAAGAGAGAAGTTTGCGGCTCAAACCATCCACAGGAGGATTTTATTGTTTTGCAGCTAAAATTAAACCAGTAAATTATTCAATATAATGTTGATGTCAACAGCTGTTGCCATTCAAAATGAGACCTTTTGCTGTTTTTGCAAATCTAATTACAATGAAGCCATCAGGGAAATGAAAGGGAGATCACAGAGCCATAGTCTGTATATGTGGTTGGTGTCTTCCTCTCAGACCTTTTAATCATGATTATATAAGAATGATCCAAAACATATATGGTAGGGGAAAGTAGAAATAGAGAGCCATGAACGGAGATCAATTTACACAGCAACAAAACCCGGATCTCGGTCAAAAGGGAAGCTTAAGGTGTAATTGGGAACACGTCTCCCTAGATCATTTGGGAACTCCAAGTAAATAGAAAAAAGATGCCCTTTGCAAGTCACGGCTGCAGAATTACAGTGAGACAGAATGTGAATGTTGTCCTCCCCCACATCTTCCAAGGTAAATATATTCTCCATAACTGACTTAATCCTGAAAGATGTTTTACTTTGTTTTCATTTAGCTTTCTGATAGCCTCATTATAGACCGGGTCCACTCACTTTATAAAAGTGCAGGGGTTCCAACTCTAGGGTATAATTTAGGAATTCCCCAAGAGCATTATTTCTAAGTTCCCATATGTACTCTGTTACTATGCAAGCATTGTGCTTTGAGATGCTTTACTGAAGCAACCAGGTGAGGTCAGTCCTTGCTTTTCAAATTAATATGTAGAGACAAGATCTTTCCTAGAAAGATCACAGGGACAATGGGACAAGTGACTAATCTTATTTCTAAACACATGCAATAGCTGAACCATTAGAAAGTGTGAGCTCTCCAGCCAGCTCCACTTTGGAAAATAGCTTTTCTTTTATATGCCCATATTAAGTCAGAAAATTCAAGAACCAAGTTAATAGGAAATAGTTTTTCAGGCCACATTTTTAGAAGCTTTCTGCAAATAAAATTGTCTATGTAATACCTTAAAAGCACTTTTACTACTCTAAAAGTACATTAAATATTTTGGTTCTGTCAAGTTCTTTAGATTCCTTTAAAATAGCTTAACCATTTATCTCCTATCAGAAGACTCATTAATATCCCTAGAGGAAAACAGCAGGAACACAACATTGACTCTTCTTGCCTTGACTACAGAATTCTTATTTTAAGAGCCTTTTCTCATTTCATTCATGCTTCAGCTTTATCATATTGGATACCTACTCAGCATCAGATACAATCATATGCAAGTTCAGAAATGAACAAGATACAGCTCTTGACCTCTATGAACTCACAGTCCAATAAATTTATATCCTTTAATTTATATCCTCTATTAGAAACAAGATCCTTCTCTGTAGAATTTTGAAATGATAAGCAGGAATTTAAAACTTAGGAATGTTCATATTTAAAATTAGTAAGATACAAATTTCAAGAGAATACTTGTAGACAAAGTTTAGTAAGAAAATGGTGATGAGGGCAAGAATTATAGTTTCCTCACTAACATTACTTGATTCCTTGCTTTGGTTTTATTTCAAACCAACTGCACTTTTTTACGTGAGTTGTAATATTCCTTTCATGAGGCATCTTTTAAAACTCTCATTACATGTTTTTGCTAATATTAGAATCATGATTTCATATTAGTAAGTTTCACATGTGCCTTACTCTTTCTATAATAGTTTTTAATAATTTTACATTTTACATAGTAAAAGAATTTTCATTTATAGAAGGAGAGAAGGGCTGCTTGTGGAAGTATTTTTCATAATATTTCAACGGAAAAAAATAAAAATTTTCTTCCTTCTTATTTCAAAATTTAAAGAGTTTGTCAGTATATCTAAACTGTGTTGGTTAAATGGATAAATCAAGGTGTTTATAAGTCATTATGTACCAGCAAGTGTTAAACAGAGCTCAATATTCAAAACTCCAGATACTGGCTTGAAATATGTTAATTAGAAGCATGTTAAATTTTTTTAATCTTTAGTGTAAGTATTCTACTTTGGAACACTTTTTTTATAATTCTGTTATTTCATATCTTGTTTTACTTGTTTGTGATTTTGAGTCTTTAAAAGTTTACTGTTTCCATTATTCTATGATATTGCTGAATAAATGTAAACTGTATGTGTTAATTAGCTGCTTATATAAAGTACAAAGAGTTGAAATACAATATTCATCTTTAAGTGCACAGTGGCTTGGATTTGGAAAGGATAGTGACATGTCAGTCATGCCCTCATTCTTTTTTGTCTTTCTTTTTTTCTCCTTCATTCTCAGTATAAAAATATGTTTAGCCGGGCTCGGTGGCTCAGCCTGTAATCCCGCGCCTTGGGAGGCTGAGGTGAGCGGATTGCCTGAGCCTGTGGGTTCGAGACCCGCCTGGGCAACTTGATGAGACCTCATCTCTACAAAAAATCAAAAATTAGCCAGGCGTGGTAGTGCGCGCCTGTAGTTCCAGCTACTCGGAAGGCTGAGGCGGAAGGATCACCGGAGCCCAGCAGTTCGAGGCTGTGGTGGCCGGGAGCGGCCACTGCACTCCAGTCTGGGAGACAGAGTGAGACTCCAACTCAAAAATATATGTGTGTGTGTGTGTGTGTGTGTGTGTGTGTGTGTGTGTGTGTGTGTGTGTGTGTGTGTGTGTTTAAGTCTCAAATATCCTACACAATCCCCTCAGCAACCTTTTTGACCCTACATTCTACTCCCTCAGTTCCTCCCCTCTATCTCCCTTTCATTGGTTCTTCCATCACCAATTTGTTTGTCAACCTACAGAAACCTAAATTTTAGTGACTATGACAATGACAAGTAACATTTTCTTTGAAGTTTTCATTTTACCAACTCTCTCTGCATTTTACACTGATGATCACCCCACTTCCTGGAAGTTCTTTTCTGATTTGGCTTCCAGGAGACTGCAGTTAGTTGATTTTGCGACTATGTTTTGAGCTCATCTTATGTCATATGTTACTGCAGTGCAGAGGGTGGTCTCTGCTTTTCTCGCTTTATATATCACCACCACTCTTACCTCACATTCGGCATTAAGCTTCAGCTTCCAACCTCCTCCAGGAGGTTCCCCTGACTTATGGCAGAGCTAGGTGTCCCTCTTGTACAGTCCCCCAAACCACTTTCTCTTGTCTCATAGTACACTATACACATCTGTTTGTACATCTGTTCCTTCACTAAATTCTGAGCTCACTGAGAATAAGAAAGTGTCAAATTCATCGTTTCCCCCCCCCAGCTCCTAGAACACTAAGAACACTTAGTAGGCATGCAACACAGGCTTTTATTTTTATTTTTAATGAATGAAAATCTCATTATTTACACTTTCTCCTTCATTTAAATTTCACTTGCAATTTTTTTTTAATCTTTCAAGGGTCATTATGAAGACAGATTGCAGGATAACCATAGTTTTTTTAGATTCTCACTTGGAAATAAGTAGAGTATTTTTACAAAATGATAATATGTATTTTAAAAAGCATTTTCAAGATGATATAAAAGGAAATTAGGAAAAACAATATTTTATTTTATTGTGAGCAAAATTAGCCACTTCAGAATAGAATGAAATAGAATAGAATAAAAATAATATAAGACAATTTGGAAGCTTTTTTAGTAGTTATTTTTCCATCTTTAGATATGACGGCAGGCATTTCCATGGGATAGGGAAGACAGCAAGAAGGAAAATGAACCCTATGGAAGAAATTATCCTTCCACTGAGTTTGGATATTGGCTTAGCAACCAGATGTCTCCCGTTTATGGCCTATGTCACCCATAATGAAGCAGGATACCAACATTTCTTAATATTCTAGAATCCCCAACTTCTGAAAGCCCCTCTCTCAACTAGTACTTTGTTGTTGAAATGTTGTGAACTGTGTCTGGAAATTTTTTTTCCTAAGAAAAATGATTAAAGTACTTCCTAGTTAAAAAAAAAAAAAGAAAAGAAAAAAGAAATGGCTTTGATTATGTGTAATACCAACTCAATGCTATTTACTCTTGTTACTCTGGTTGTTTTCTGCTTGTTTGCTTTATAAAGACTTTTGTCACAGGTGTGTTTTTTGTTTTTCTATTGGTTACAATTAGTCGGTGTTGCTCAAAATGAATCCTGAGAACAAAACAAACCCATTTTCCAGCTAGTAGAAATGTTATAACAGAGATTAATGAAGTAGAGAGACTGACTTACATGTTATTGTGGATAAGTTACATTAGCTTCCAGAGTTTAGTTATTTAAATGAAGGCTTTAGGAAAAAACATAATCTTTATTACCAGCCAAATTAGGCACTTCCATACAACACAGCCGTAGGAGGAATCTTGCCACAGAGCTGTATATCTTTGATGGGAGAAAAGTAAAAAAAATAACAATTCAATATATCAGAAGATAAAAAAACAATACTTCGATAATAGTTCAAAATAAAATTCTAGGGATTGTGCATTAAAATTCTGTGTTCTTACGAAATTCCATTTAAATATTAATCTCAGTGCATTTTTTAGTTACCTAGTTCTCAATGTCTTCATTTTCTTGTGTTCATTTTCTTGCAGTGTGTTCATTTTATTTGTTATTCTTTGAGGTCATTATTATGGCAGTTTAAAAACCTATTTTTGTTTGTCTGTTAAGTCACTGCTTTTATAAAAGAGAGTGTCAAGATAAACTGCAGTGTGATGAAACCAGTTAATTTGTTTTTTAAACAAATTCATGTTTAAAGATAAGTACGTTTTAAAGACAGACACCACCAAGAACAAGAATAATATGATTATGTAAAGTATCCATGAGAATAGCTTTAAAGTATGTTAAGTCGTTTTCTGCCAAAATAAATCTTTAATGAGAATTAAGCATCAGGTTATTTTAGTGTATTGGATTGCTCTTTTTTTATTGATTTTGTTTTTTACTGGAAGAAACCAAGTACATGAAAACAATCACAGTCATTGAAATATCAAATTATTCATCAAGATGCATAATCATGAATGACATAATTGAATTGGAAGTATTAAAAGTGAGTTGTATGTGCTTGGCAGTTATCCACAGAACCAGCGTAGCATTTCCTCCACTGTGGATGTGTTGCTTTGCATTCTGTTAGGGTGGTGGTTGCAATTCATTTCTGTGTATTCAACAGGCAAAATTCTCTTCACTTCCTTGGAATTCATGGTGTTCCAAAACTGTCTAATATTTATCATTAAGAAAGTAAGACAATCAATATGTATTTTACTGATTTTTTTTAAATGGCTAATTTTTCTCTCCTTGTGTTTTCTTTTTAAATTTGCATCTTCTGCAGGTGTATAGGCTCAAGTATTGAAGACTGCATCGGGCTGATGGATAGGTACTTGGTGTGCTTTCTTCCCATGTTCTTCCTCCAAGGCTCCGTGTGTGAGCACTGGTGCATGTGTGTGCATGTCCCTGTGGATTGAGAATGATGTTTTCTGTTCTGTAATTGCCTGCAGGTGTAACGGTCCCACTAGTCATGACTGCATTTACTACCCATGGACGGGCCATTCCACCTTACCACAACATGCTAGGTAACATCTACCATGTTTCCATTTTGTCGCTCAAATCCTTTCCCAATTATCATAAACGAAAAGTACTAACCAGTTGGGTTAAGTTTAAAATATATTCTAACTTACTAGAATATATTATAAATTTAATGTAATATATTATATCAAATTAGAAAGTTTGGGAAGAGGCATAAAACACTTTCCTTATCAAGCCACTTTTCTTACCTTTTTCCTTCATTCATTATGATTTCAGAGTCCTAATTAGTAATGTTATTGATTTTTAATTGTGTACAATTAAGCAGAATTTTGAATTATTAATATAAAACTTTAATAGAATATTTTTGTTAATTTTGTAGAAGGGTGAAAATAACATTTTAAGGCAGGAATTTGTAAAAACGGATCGGTACTTATAAGAGCAAGATGTTTGTTTCATTTAATTTCATTCAGTTTCTGAGTTTACATTTTTTGAACCAGTTGGCATATTCTATAGGTACAATAATTAGCACAGACAAAAGGCAATATAAAAAATTACTTTGTACAGGTAAAAGCATAATTTGGAATTAAAAATATATTGCTCACTTTTACATAAAAATCTGTACATTCATATGTGGAGTGACTTTATTCAGAATCACCAAAACTGAAAGCTACTCAAAATATACTTCACCTATGGCATATTGAGACATTATAACACTACTGAGCAATAAAAGGGAAAAAAAACTGCAGATACACCCAACAACCCAGACGGATCACACATATATTACACTAAGTGAAAGAAACCAGACTTAAAAGAATGCATATTGTATTATTTCATTCACATGGCGATCTGGAAAAGGCAAATCTATAGACACAGAAAATCGACCAACGTTGTCAGGGCCAAGGGACATTAGTCATTAGTCTGACTACAGATTGGCAGCGAGAATTTGAAGGGTTAATGAAACTCTGCTTCTATCTTGATGACGGTGGGGTTTGCACACATGCAAGTGCCTATCAAAAACTGTAGAACTGTACATTTTACTCTATATATTGCACCTCAATAAACCTGACTTTTAAAACATCTTATAAGACATTTTCTTAATAGGAAAATAGTAACTTGACCATCTTAGAAATATTGTTAGGTTTACTTATGAAACAAATCCATTGCATCTTTTGGAAGAGAGTAGTTAGTGGTAAAATATAACTAGCAAAATGAGAATCTTGAATGAAGTGTTGGCTTTTAATGTAAACGTTTGTATTGAAGTAAACATAGTGTAAAAGTACACAAAACATAATTTTAAAACTCCTTGAATTTTCTGAAATGAAACAGTTGTGCAACCATTAGCCAGATCAAGAAACAAGACAGCAACAGAACCCCAGGCGTTTCCTTGTACCCTATTTCAGGGTAACCACTGTCCTAAATTCTACCACAGGTCAGGCTGTCTGGATTTTTACTTCGTGTGCATTTAGTAATTTAGTTTATATTCAGTGCATCTGGGTTCTTTTGCTAAATATTATATTTGTGAGATTCATCTGTGTTACCAAATTTGGTCACAATTTCTTCATTCCTATGGTATTGCCTTAAAATTGCTTTTAAATCATCAAATAAATTGTCATCTTAATTTTTTTAATGAAGTAAATAGAGAAATTAAATTCTAAAAAGAAACCATGTGCTGTGGTTTATTAATTTACACAAAAGTGGCACTTTGACACTGGGGCACAATCAAAACTAATTACTATAGCTCTTTAGAGCCAGATTAAATTAAGAAAAAAATGAAAGAGAGAAAGGGAGGGAGAGAGAAAGCCTAAGAACTAAAGTGCAGTTTTATAAGTCAAGGTTCATCCTAGATTGTTCCTGTATCTATGAAATAATTTTTTTCCTTGAGGCCTTCATTAAGTCAGTGGACTTTCACTTTGAAGATTGTTTTCACATTTGTCATGTTGATTTTCTTGTAATTTTTCCAGGGGACCAGTTAGAGGCGATATAGTACAGTGATTAAGTATGCTGTCTTTGGAATCAGATTTAGAATTAGAATCTGACTTCAAACTAGGCTCTACTGTTTTTAGATGTGTGACCATTGTAAGTTCCTTAATTTTTATGCACTCACTTTTTTCATATATAAAATGGGAATATTAATATGGTTCATAAATTGGTTGTAGAGGTTAATTTTTTTCCTGAGAACAGTGTCTGACTCACAGAAATCATTGAATAAGTGTTATTATTTATTATTTTTCTCTATATAAATAATTATTCAACCTTGAGGATAGGAGAACCTACCTTCCAGGAGGAGAGAGATCTCAAAGTCACCCCGGCTGCTTTAATGTGTGCCTCTGGCCCTCGTGATGGGCTCCTTGAAGGGAGTACATTTCTCTCTTCACCTTGAGAATCTTGGTCATAATGTGGGCCACAGTTACCAATGGCAGTAGGTCACTGGCTGATATGTAGAGGCAGAGGAAAGGTTTAAACTACAGTGATGGATCATTTGTAGTTTTTAATGCTTGTAACCGAGGTTATATGACTCAAAATCAAAATACAGCGTATTTGGGTTTAATATTTTCAAAGTTTGAACAAAAGCATTATTTGGACTGTCAATCCTATTGCAACATTTAACTCATATTAGCTTTGTCATAAATAGGTGACATGGTCAGTAACTGTGTATAGATAATACAGTGTAGTATAGCCAATTATTCCTAAGGAAAAAATCACTTGTAGCCCATTGTACAGGTATAGAGCTACAATGTGCATGTCTGGTTCAAATACTTGTTCTGTCATGTTTTCTATCTGTACAAATGACAATGGTAATATTTAAACTGAGAATTATTTTACCTCATACTGTTGGTGCGAGGATTAAATGAGATAGTGCATAAGAGCCACTCTACAGTATACGTTCGCTGGTGGTGGTTACTACTCTAGTTGAAATATTGGTATAATAATCTCTTTGAAAATTTTATGAAATTCATAATTTATATATCAACGGGACTTTAATAGGTTAGTGACTTTGGGATTGACCTATCAAAATTTCTCAGGTTTGAAGCATTTGAATTTTGTATCGAAATTCTGAGTGTAGTGATTTCAAAACTGGTAGTAGATAGCTAATTGCTCCTTTAGGAAAATTCTGGATATCTTTCATTGATACTGTCTTTGAATTGAATAAAGCAATGTGACTCTCTCCTTTAATTATATTGACTTGTCAGAGTTTATTGACTTGTCAGGGGCTATTTATAAGACAGTTTGGAATTTACACTAAGTATTTTAGCCTGAATGCTTTGGAAAAGTGTTTATGACCATGAAGAATGTTGACATGGACTGGGTGAGAAGTGAAATCAAGTATCTCCTTTTTCAGGTCCTTAATATTGCAGCAAATGCTTACCTTTTTGAGATGGAGTGGGTGTATATTTAACTGAAAGCAGGAGACTAGTAATATTTTAAGTTATTCTCCATTTTAAAATTTCATCATAGTCTTTCAAAGTTTCTGTCAGTTGATTAAAGTAAATCTTTCATAATGGGAGGACAAAAAACACTATTGAAAATCACTGTTTTAAGTTCCATATACCATATTTTAATGGGAGATTATCCAAATGCCCAGTTTTCTTTTAGTCATAGAAAATTACATTGAACACATGTCAATGTAGCTGTTTTGAGATATTTAGAGTTCATACTCCCTATTGCCCCATTATGCTGTATTCTGTTTCCTAAACCAGCAGGAAAAAAGATTGAAGATTTAAATGAAAACAGGTGAAATGTTTCCAATCTTTATCGACTTTCATTTTCTAAGCAGTGTTATTCTTTCCCAAGCCTGCAATTTGTGAATTGGTTTTCTACACTCCATTTGCCTTACAGGCTGCTGCTGGAATTTCTTCCAGGAAGATTGGATAGGCTAGAATAGAATTCTTTTTATTTTCTTACCTTTCATCTCCTAGAATATTCTACTTATAATGAAAATAATACTCAATATTTTGCAACCTCTTCCTATTTCCCTAATCTGAATTCAATGTCTTAAAACTAATATTTACCCTTGATGGTTTTTATTTTCTGCCAAGAATCCTATAGAGAAATATGTTCAGCAAGTTTTTTGTTATTCTTTTTTGTATGCTATGTATTTAGCTTGCACATATGCTATATTCCTAAAGATTGTAATAGAACAAAATATTAGATTCTATTTTTAGATTATTTGTTAAATATATGTCGAAAGTTTTATTTTTTAAGCCTTACTCTCTTTTTTCCATTAGGGCCTAAATTTGTTAATCTCAACAGACAAAGGCTCTATTGGTAAAGCATTTTTTTAATGTTCGCTGGCAATCCCAAATGTAAACTGACTTAATTCTTTTTGAATTTGTGAGAGAAGTTATTAAAATTACCAGTTATCTTTTCAAGCATTTTTATCTGGCTACTTGCTCCTATTCAATTATTCTAGGTGCTTCCTAATATAAAATCTTGTAATTGAATTCAGTTTAACTCTCTAAATCTCATATGGGCAGCTCTTTGAAACATTTTATATTCCTGTCACATTTTAATGTCTGTGTCATACTTTTACTTTATGGTATAGTGGTTATTACCTAAGAGGTCACATAACAGTTTATCTTTTAGCCGTGTGACCCATATGTGATATACGAGAGAGGTGATGTGGTATTTTTGGCACCATTTTCACAAATGGCACAATTTTTTTCTTTGTTTGTTTTGCCCCCAAGGAACTTAGTTCATAACTTATGCCCAAATCGAACGGTCAAAATCGCCCACAGATAGTTACCTTGAATGAGTAGCAGTTGCATTATGATCCTTAAGTCCTATAAATAAAAGTACACAGCCTTTTTATTATCAGTTTATCCTCAGTCCACCATGTTCTGTATATTAAATTTACTTTTGAAATAAAAAGAGTTCGAAGAGGTGAAGGAGAGTGTGTGAATCTCTTCTTTTCCAGATGATTTTTGTCTTGCAATTCCCAGCACCCATTAAATACAAAAATTATCTGAGGGAAGAGCCAAATATCTCAGTTCAGATATTAATTAGTGTTCATATAGTTCAAGTGGTTACTTTAAACAAAACTATTTAG